AGAGAGAGAGAGAGAGAGAGAGAGAGAGAGAGAGAGAGAGAGAGAGAGAGAGTTCAAAGAGACTAACGACAGTGAAGCACAGCGGGACAGAGACAAAGGCCGACTAGGATAAGACTTGGCGAGCGAGGCTCAATCTTCAATAGAGAGCATAAGAAGGAGAAATGGCTCAATCATCAACAGAGAGCTAGACACAAAGAGAGTGAAAGATAAAGGCTCATCAATGAGCATAGAGCTTGACAGGGAGCGTTGAAAAATAAAAGGAAATAGCAGCGGCAGAGAGAAAGAAAAAAAATATTACTAATTATAGAAGGGAGGAGAAGATGGAGAACTATACAAAAGCAAACACCCTTTTGGGCGAGGAGAGCCAACGACTCTCAATGTTGGCAAATGAAGGATCGCTAGTTGGCATTAGCCATTAATAACAACGTAACTGACAACTGACCATTTCCTATCATTAGTATGATTAACTATTGTAACTGAAATATTATTGTAACTCCATAACATATATGATACCGCCAAATACACGAAAGCTGCCCCCATTTGATTACCACATATCATACGTAATCATCATATGTTCATGCCCTTTTGAGCAACCTATAAAAACAAGAAGAAATCCTTACACGAAAATTCCCACTAAAATCACCCTCCACCATTACAAAAATAATTTCGAGCGCGTAATTCTCACATAAACTCTCAACTTTTGTGCACACCATATTCAATAATTGTCACGTGAGTATAGGTTAAGTAATATTTGTTTCTTTATGGAATCCAACTTGGGCACGAGTTAAATCTAAATCGGCCTCCACACGTACCAATCACTTTCTTGACGATATTTACCAAACAGAGAAGGGAATTTTCTTGGAAAGTGGCTGCTACTCGAGGAAAGCCAAGAAAAGTCTTCCAACAATTGCAGGTAAAGCCAACTTCCTCATTCTTTCTCTTTCTTTGTCTGTTTTTTGATGGAGGAGTTATGGGCCTGGCCCTCGAACCCAGCCAAACGCCGCAAGACCCACCGTGAAATTATATGAAGATGAAAATTGTTTCCCAACTTCCAATCCAGGCACAAGGCCCCCCCGGAAAGTGCGGTTCACT